TTCGAATTCCTCACCTGCAGTTGGGGTTGCACAGACTTGCTGACTCCCACTGCCTGTGGGACAAGCCCAGGCTCCTCGCATGGAGCTTCTGCAGCTCAGACCACTGCCCTGGCTGATTTAGGCCAGGGCTGCACCACCTCTCTGATTCTAGCCTAGAACGTGGGCCTAAAACCTCGTGGCCCAATGGTTCCCAAACAGTCACAGAGTATACTGGTCCTCTGTGTTGAAGGTTTTATCAGAGGTGAGTGATGCAAGACATATAATCCTGTATGTACTTTTGATTTTTTAAAAAAACCAATCGCTTCATTTAGTTCATTTTGTTTCTTTTTAATTGTGAAATACATATATAACATAAAATTTTCAGTCTTAACCTTTTTAGTGTTCAGTCCTGTTAACTATATTCCCATTATTGCACAACAGATCTCTGAAATTTTTTCCTCTTGGAAAACTGAAACTCTACCCATTCAATGACAACTCCTCATTTTCCCCTTTACTCCCTGACAGCAACCATTTACGAATTTGATGGTGCGGGTATTTCATACAAGTGGAATCATACAGTGTCCCTTTGTGACTGGCTTAGTTCACTGCATATAATGTCCTTAAGGTTAGAATCCTCTTCCTTAGTAAGGCTGAATAATGTATGTCATGTGTATGTACCATATTGTGTCTATCTGTTCAGTAGTCCAAGTAATCTTGTGAAGTAGGGGCAGGCTGAGGCAGGCTGTGCCCTGCCCCCAGTACTCATGTTGATTCCATCTTCTGACTAGTTTAAATGATGCTATGAACTATTTGCATCCCAGTTTTCAATGGGGGGTATATGACCAGAAGTAGAATAGCCAAATCATATGATAATTCTATTTTTGATTTTTTTGAGGAATCTCTCCACTGTTTTCTCTAGTGGCTACACCATGTTACATTCTCAGTAACTGTGTACAAGAGTTCCAATATTGCCGCATCTTCACTAACACTTCTTGTTTTCTGTTATTTTTTAAATAGTAGCTATCCTAATGGATGTGATCACGTAGGATTGTTTTTAAAAGATAACTTTATGGCTGGGCATGGTCCCAGCAATCCGCAGTCTAAGGCAGAAGAATCACTGTGAGTTTGAGGCCAGCCTGGGTTACATAGTGAGTTCAAGACTAGCTTGCACTATACAGTGAGACTTTGTCTTTAAAAAAAAAAAAAAAAAAGGTTTATTCCAGTGTCTTTATTCTAGAATTTTTTTCTAAAGCAAAAATTTACTTTCATCAAATATGGTAACTGTAGGTGGTATGGTTTTGAAAAAACAACTTTATGTGAGAAAATTAAAAGTTGACATTGTTGTTTTAGTCCTCGAGGTTAAAAAGAAAACTTTCAAGTCATAAAATTCAAAACTAGAAACCGACTGAGCAGATGAGTAGGATCTGAGTGGGATCAAAATCAGAATGTTTAAAAAGAGAGAGAGAGAGAGAGAGAGAGAGAATGGATGGATTCCATCAAAGATAAGACAGAATCAGAATACTGGATTGTGATCTAGGATGGTTACTGGTACGTATCAGTGAGGACAGGCCAAAGCCCAGAGGACCTACTGCATTTCCAGTGTGCCCGTGAGTTGAAATTAGATGCAACAGAAACAGAATGGTCTGTTCAACGGTCCATATTTCACATTCCTCTTTAGATTTTGTTTCTGTTTAAATAACTGAGAGAAAACTGCATTCTTTATGTGGTTGATAACTACACTAGCGTTTGTTCAATATTCCAAGAACTGGTGGGATACTGCATTTAACAGGGGCTTCTAGAAACACTGTTACACAGAGCCACCGCATATGCAGCAAAAAGTCCAGAACAACGATATAATGCACCCTGCTCCACTTCTCAACACTTTGGATATTATTTCAGATGTTATCCAATTACAGACCTAATACTCATATTTCTGCACCTTGCTGATGATTCTTAGCATTAGATAATAAAAACATACAATTGATTTCATACAGCAGAATTTATAAGGGATAATGTCAAAGCACCACCCAGAATATCCAACACGGGTGAAATTAATGAGATAAAGGCTTTCATTAGTGGCTGGTTTTCAAACCAGTAAGAATGGGAAGAGATGAGTGGTTTGTCCCTTTAAACATTGTTATCTTAAAAGCTCTAAAAGTATCAATGATTTTGGAGCACATTCTTTTGAATGATTCCCTGGGTAGTATATCACTGTGCATTCAGAATGGATGTGATTTCTGAAAATAACTTAAAATGATTCAGAGCCACATCTGGTGGAGATGATTGAAATCAAGCAAAGAAATGATAGTTTCATAAAAAAAAACTTGATAAGAATACAAAGTAATATAAGTGATTTGTAAACCTTTCTGAAGGCAATCCCAAAAGAATTCTGAAAACATTTTGCGATACCGAAGCTTTACCCCGCCCCCCAAAAAAAGTTTGTGGATGCTGCAACTTGACTACTCTAAAGAAAAGTCTACAAGTTGAAACTGTGGTATGAATATTTTGGAGAGACACCACAAAAGCACTGCTTTCCAAGGAAACCTCATAAATCTTTTGGAATGCTAAACACAAGCTGTAGACCAAAGGCTATATCTGGCCCATACTTTTGTTTTGCTAAGTTTGCACAGTATTTTTTAAAGGTTGAATTTTTTAATCAGACTATTTAAAATTTTTTTTAAAGTCCATTTTCCTCTTTGCCAAAGTTGGGCTATGGCTGTCCTTGTTGCAATGTTAACCTGTTTTGGTTCCCTTTTGGTCCCTTGACCCATTCTATATTATCTGACGCCTGAGGAGATTTGCAGTTTGCAACCCCTGCTTGAGAATCATAGAGCTGGTCAGTTACATTTAAAGACAAAGAAAGAATTATTTCCCATCACATATTTAGCAAACAGCTTTGCATATGCCCACTTTCTGCCTATCCAGTGTCACCTTGAGGGTACCTTGCAGGTATAAGCTTGGCCCACAACAAAAAGTATCTCCTATTACTTCCGTGCATTAGAGCACTAAGCACATAGACCTGCAGAGCAAATGCAGTTTCTTTCTTTCATCTATCCTGTTCTTCTTGGACCCACCCCCAGCACACTGGGCAAGATGAATAATTTAGACTGGTCAATGGAAAATATTTATCTCTTTTCACATCTACATCCTCTCCTTTTCCTTCAAATTTTGATCTGTCAAAAGTTAATTAAGCACTGCAAGGAACGGCCTTGGCAGCTTCATTGGAACGCTTCCGTCTCTCACTGCCTTTCATTCTTTTCCCATCCTATTTCTCGGATTGGCATCTGAGTACATGAGGGTCACATTGTTTTTGAGCTCTGAGGGGAAGAGATCCTCAGATTGGGCTTTGCAGAGGGTGTCTCTGTCCAGTCGAGCAGCTGCTCCTCTGATTGCCGCTCTGTGGCTGAGGTCTGCTGTCACTCGTCTTTGCTTTGTCAAGGTCCAGTAACTTCCTCTGCTGACCATCTTGGTCATGGGGTCTGAGCAGACATGGAGCAAACAGAGGCTCTGCACAGCTCCCTTCCAGCCCTGTGCTGCCTTCTCTTGTGCACCACTGAGTCTCTTAGGCTGTGCCGGTTCAGGCTGGGTGCAGGGGGCCCTTGAGCCAGTCACAATCCCAGAGTCCTCACTGGGGCTCAGCATTTCTCCGGCCTCCTCCACCCCAAGTCCCCAGCTCCACGCTGAAGCTCATCTCACTCCTCCACGCTGCTTCTCCCTTCTCAGCCCCCATGAGCCCTTGAGAACACAGGGCCAGCCTCCTGAACTTCACTCCCATTGTCTCACACCCTGGGCTCCTCAATAGCAAGCCTGGGGCCTGGCCTTCCTGGGCAGGGAAGGAAGCTTCTCCATGTAACAGAAGGAACACTCTGAGACAAGTCCTCACAGGCTGGTGCTGGGCTTTGTTGGGAGAGGCAGAGGCCATGCTGGTCCTGCAAGTCCTTCCTGGGTGTGCCAAGAAGGCAAGGCTCCCACCCCTGTCCCAGGCCACCGCTCAAGGTCGTGTTTTCAGGGAGCAGCCTGAGGGATGACGAGGCGACATCTTCCTTCAGAGATGAGGCTTGCATCAGAAGAAGGAACCCTCAACTCAGGTTCCTGGGGACGGAGGTAAACGATCCTCACCCCACCCAAGGCAATCTTGTGAGGTTTAGTGACAAATTCCTGTAGGAGTTGAGTTGTCACATTTGCTGCTTTCTCATATTAGGCAAGTGATGCTGTGGCTGTGATTGAGCCTGACTATTCAAAACCAGGTGGCAACACTGGCGGAAACACCAGTGATTTATTGACTTCCTGGCTCAGGAAAATCTGATTTGTGATTTGATATGAGTTCCAGCCAAGTAGTGAGAGGAAAATGAAACTATTAGTGGTCCTGAGTCTTAAAGTTTGTAAGATTATTTACTCATGCCAGAGCTAGGCACATCCACCTGAAAAGATTTTGAGGTATCCAGACAAAAATGGCCATGAATAACAGGCAAGGAGGTATTCATGTTTGGTATACTGAGGCATTGTACCAAAGGAATGATGTAAACCTGTTCCTTGCCCTTGAGGAGGACTGAACTCCAGACGGGCTCAGTGGTGAAACCACAGAGAATTATAATAAACCTTCCCTTGCTGTCCCACTGAGCCCTGAGGCACGCATGTCACACAAGTCACCACACAGGTAGGTGTCTGAACACAGGTGAAAACCACTCCAGGCAGCTTCAGGGCTTGGGGTGGAGCCCTGGGAAAGGCTAAGGAAGGTGCAGACTCCAGAGGCTACACTGAAGTCAAGGGTGAGCACGGACAGCACCAGGGGCATGGAAATCCCAGGGATCCTTACCCAACTCTTTTTAAAACTACAGCTCCGGGTAGGTTTCCTTTCCCCAAAGTGTACAGAAGCCAAGCCAGCAGTCATCTATCCATGATGCAAACTGGCAGACAGCCAGGGCTCTGTAGCCCTCTCTTGAAATTTTAGGAAACTGTTTCACATGAAGAAAAAGACTGAGAGGAAGAATAGACATTTTTCTATTTTTTTGACATTTTAGAACAGGAGGCTGCTTCCCAAGAAATCTCATAACCTTACTACGAGTGGAGATTGAATACATTTTTCTTCTAAAATTGATCAGTCTGGGACTTCGTTCCCATCATGAATCGGTACGTCTTTTCTAACGTGAGTAGTTGAAAAGTGTTGTTTCTATTCAGTTTATCTGGAGTCAAAATGTATTTGTTCGCTTAATACATGTTTATTGTATATACTGTGTGCCAGGCACTGTCTCTAGATTGGGGAATGTGGAAGTGACTGAGACATAATATTTTTTTCCCTTATTGGGAAGTCAAATAGGACGCAAGGAAAGCTTCAATAAAAAACAATTTGGTAGATGATTGAGGAGGTATGAAATAAGAAACACTAGAATGTGGGGATGCTTTTCATGGAGTGCTTCTGTAGCTGTGGTAAATAGAATGTCCTGTATCTTAGTTACTTTCTCATTGTTGGGACAAGATGCTCAACCCACAGGTTAAAGGAAAGGCTTATTTTGGCTCGCAGTTTGTAGAGGTTTCAGCCTACAGTTAGCTGGCTCCAAGGCAGGGTGGCATGGCAGATGGGCGAATTACTCATGGAAAGGCAGCAGGAGCAAAGAGGGATCAAGGAAGGAGAGGGCGGGGAATAGTCTCTGCCGAGCCACGGCCCCAGCGACCGCCTCCTCCCACCAGGCTTCTCCTCCCAGCATCACATGGATAAGCTCCAGCCTCATCAGTGCACCAACCCTCTTGTGAGTATCATGCCCCATGATCCAATGACCTCCTAAAAGTCCTGCCTGTGAGCGCACAGGGCTTTGGGAGGACATCTAGGCCTGAATCATAATAGCCCAGGTGCTGAGGTGAGACCTGAGTTGTGATCTTTACTGCAATAAGAAATCATAGCAGAAACTACAGGACAGCACATATCAAGCAGAGGAAACTGCAGACCTGAGGGCCATTATGAGAACCAGCTGGCTATGCAGGAGCTGAGCAGACAGTGACGGAAGTGGGGCAGCAGGGACAATGGCAGGTGATGAGGTTGGCATGGAGATGGGCAGGGCGGTGGCCTGGGGCCGCAGGGGCCAAGGCAGTAGCTAAGATGGAAGGTCTTCTTCAAGGGAGCAGCATGACTTGGTCACCTGGTGGAAAGTGTGCTTGTCGCAGTTCTGTTTTAATGGAGAGTAACAAAAAGCAATCTGTGTATTCACCTCTGGGTTAAGACTCACATATTCTTGCTTTGCTTAATGGTAATCTTCTTCATATACAAATAAGTGAACATTTACTTTTCCTTTTTGTTGAATTTTGCTCACATATCATAGTTTATAACATTGCATACTCAAAAAAACTTTCCACATGCTGCCATCTGTAGATTTAGGTGATCCTAAGTGGCTGGGTCTTCATAACTAAATGTAAATAGAATCCTGTTCATGAATTTGCAAATTGATTTTTCCTCTACTGACCCATGTAGGGCTGAAGCCCATTAAATTCTGAATACAGTTTAATAGCTATTATTTAGATATTGGTCTAAATAATACATTGACGTTCCTTCTGCATAAATCCACAAATTACAGTATAACATGGGCAAAAGTCTGCATGCATATTTTCCACCTTCCTTGCTTCTTGGTCCTCCTTCCCCTGCTCCCCTTCTTCCTTCCCAAATGAACTCAATCCCCTGGACAGTGTTTGTTCTTCCAGGAGAGGAGATTCATCTTTGTGGCTCTCTCCCGCTGGATTCTAAGCTCCCTAAAGGCAGAACTGTGTTGGTCCAACCCCTATACTCAGCCTCTCTTACATCCCACACTCATCCTGTGACTGGCATAGTGTTTGCACGTCAGAGGTGTTCAGTGGAATTGGATAGTAAATACCAGGGTATTTCTGTGTGTGTGTGTGTGTGTGTGTGTGTGTGTACAATTCAGCAAGCGATAGCAGGGCTCATAGTATTTAAAACTCTGCCATAGTGAGGAGGGTGAGATAACGTATGCTTATAATCCTAGCACCTGGGAGGCTGAGGCAGCAGAATCGCCTGGAGTTTAAAGCCAGCCTGGGCTACGTAGTGAGTTCAAGGCCAGCCTGAACTACATAGCAAGACCCTGTCTCAAAAAAAAAAAAAAAAAACAAAAAAAACAAAATGTGCCATAGAATTAACTAAAGGTAACTCCTTCCAGTCTGCTGAGCCCGCCAAGGTCAAAGCAGACATTGAGGCAAGGAGGTTGGTAGGCGGTGGACAGTACGTGGGAGTGTTGTGGTTACCAGCGCTAGAACTGAACCCCATGGAAGGCTCTCAGGAAGGTGCCCTTTTTGAAACTGCCCATGCTTTTAACTAACCCACTCTTCCCTACCAGTAACTCTGCTTCTGTGCAAGGAAACATTCTTGCAAGCATTTTGTTTCATCATGTTTTATTTTGTTTTCCCTTGGCAACTGCAGGGAGGACTTGATGTTCTGACACTCCCCCCATCCCATCTGGGTGCTACTGAATTTCCATTTTTACCATTTTGTAAATCATTGCCTAGGCGTTGACAGAGGTGCTCTCTGCAGGCCTGGGCAGTGTGTGCTTAATGTGTGTGCGGAACGGCAGCCAGCTAATCACTTCTTTGCTGCAGCAAATGTAGCTCAGCAGTATTCACTTTCCTCTATCACTGCTGAACTGCAGAACTTTCCAGTACATTGCATGGAAGATTTTTTAGTTTATTTTATGTGAATATTAAAATAGGGTTGCCAGATAAGATATGGGTCACCCAAATGAATCTGAATTTCACATAAGCAACAAATAATATTTTGGTATAAATAGGTCCCAAATATTGTACAAGATGTATCTAAATACTAAGGAAATATTCGCTGTTATCTGAAATGCAAGATTAACTGGACATCCTGTATTTTTATTTGCTGAATCTAGAAGCCCTAATTAAAATCAGAGTTGCAGCCAGCACTGCTGGTGAATCTAATCCCCCAGGAAACAAGACTTCTGATGGAACATTTCTGTTTTCTTCTTCTGTCCAGTCCTTCTTTGTGTGGGCAATGAGGCCTTCAGGGAGGCAGGCAGGCTGATCTTAAAGAAAATGGGCCATTGCTAGCTGGGTTGGGGTTGTTCTTAGCAGGAACAATTTCAGAACACATGCACTCCAGCAGCTAAAATTTCTTAAAAAGGCAATTGAGGGCCGTTTTTGTTGTCACTGCTCTTGTGGCTATGGAGGCCCCTTGCTGCCTGGTACAGTGTGTCCCCTGATAAACCTGAGGGAAAGGCCTAGAGCAGCCGAGGGGGAAGCTCAGGGTTGCCCCACTCTGGAGGCAGCAATGGAGGGAGAAGGAAGATAAGAATGTGGGACCCTTGACACCTGAGGGTGGCTCTGCGGGGCCAGCTCGAATAACAGCAAGATGAAGACTCAGGCTGGAAACAGGAAAAGCATGGGGCTAAACCTGACTGCAGGAGACCACCTGCTTTCATGAGGAGAGCAGCCATGACCGCCTGTCCAAAAACAGACACCGAGCGACTTTTTTTGTTTGTTTCGTTTTGTTTTTTTGAGACAGGGTCTCACTGTGTAGTTGAGACTGACCTAGAATTCACTATGTAGCCCAGGCTGGTCTCGAACTCACAGTGATCCTCCTGCCTCAGCCTCCTGAGTGCTGGGATTACAGGCGTGCGCCACCACACCCGGCCAGAGTGACTTTTTGTTCATTTTGGAACTTTACATTAGATTTGAGAAGCATTTTTTATCTCTACACCCATTCTTAGGTGAAGGTTGCCAGGCTCATTCCTTCCGGGCACCTCTGCAGTGAATGGTTATGACATCCAACTCAGAATGGTCAAGGTTCTGTGGATTCTTGTTTATCAGCTACCGTGTAACTATTTTTCATTAGAACTCAAGAGGTAACCTTATGTTTACTTTAGTTTGGTGGAATAATTCACCAAATCAGGATTACATGAAATGTAACTTTCCTATTAGTTCTGTTCAGTGTGTGACCATGGGACATGGGGATGGGAGGAGGATATGAAACCTGGTCCTGGTTCTCAGTGAGCTTCTGGTGTAAATGCTGGGTACCCAGCATTAGTGTAAGGAATGGCTTCATAGCCCAGGAAGTGGGATTGGTAGCAGGCCCTCCCACCCATCCCTTGAAGGAATGGACCACAGTGCAGCCTCTCAAGGTCTGGGGGAAATCATGTGAACTTTGACGTTATTTCCAGCACTTCTGGGTAGAACACAGAGTGTTCCAGAGAAGGGTAGGAGTCATTCTGATAGCGTCTCCTGCAGGGCTCAGTGCACACACTGTCTCCTCAGGCCACCCATAAAGAACATTACAGGGACCTCTCTTTATAGGACCAATGATGCGGTCCTAACCCACATCAGGAGATGCCAGCTTTCAGGGGCTGCTCTGCCTTGGCACAATAGCAGTTCCATAAAAATATAGAGAAAAAGTCAACTTCATTCTCAAGTTTCAAACATAACATTGGGACCTAAATTAAGCTGCTGCTTAGCAATCAAATTTTATCAGCCAGCTTTCTGCCTTATTAAATTAGGGAAACAGTCTGATGACCAAAGAAACCAAGTCAAAAATCTTGTAACATGTGCTTTTAGGAGAGGGGCTGGCTCCCTGAGGAGATTATCCAAGATCTAGTTCTTTTAGAAAAATGATGTAGCACAAGAGAGAAAGAAACAACAGCTTAAAAGAAGTGCCAGGTCTGAGTCTGGGGGAAACCACAGAGAGGAATGAGAAAGGTTGATTCTGGAACAATCAAGAGAGCCTTCACATAGACAAGAGCAGCTTCTGAGTCAGAGACAAAGAACAGAGACACACGATTCCTGTGCAACAGCAAGAATTACACGCAACCACAAAGAAGAATACCAGGAAGAAATACCAGGAAGAAGCAGTCAGTCAGGTCCAGAATGAAGTCCCCCCACCACCAGGGCAACTTACGCTGCCTTCCAGTCATTGGCTTGGAAAGAGGTGGTCAAGGAGTGAGGATTAGTACTGGATGAAGAACTACTGTTCCTTGTACTGTACATCACTGTATCACCATGGAGGACTCTGCCCATACAATGTCCCTCAAGTGGATTTTTTCTTTCTCACGACCCTCTCTCTGCCACAGCTCCGGTGCCCACCTTCATTAATTAATGCCCGAATTTCAGCAACCTCATTCCCTCCAATATCATAGCTCTTTCCGATCTGTAAAATGAATGTAAAAATTGGTCTGGAATTGAAAATCCCTCAGTGCCTGAGCAGAGGCAACCTGGAAACAGCTCACCCCATCTAGAGCCGCCTAGTGAAGGGTATACATGAAAGGCCAGGGAGCTGCTATGGAAGGTAACTCACAGACAAAAACGTTAAGAAATGTGACAAAGTCACGAGGCAAAGAAGTTATATCCTAAAGCATTAGAAGCCCCTTTTTGAGAACACATAAGAAACAACAACAACAAAAATATTTTATTTATTTATTTTTTGTACCAGGGATCAAATTTAGGACCTTGCACTTTCAAGGCAGGCGGCAGAACCACTGAGCTAAATCCCCGGTCCAAAAGGTAAGTCTTTTAAAGAAAGGAATGTGTTTTAATTACAAGGAACTATAAGGCAAAATTTCTTGCACATAAATGTACATTTGTTGAATTGGGCATTGTAGGTAAATAATATGTTTTCATTGGAAAGAGAAAAATGCTGTAACTAAATGCATGATTGTTAAATAGGAGGGTCGTGACAAGGCCTCGGTGAGAGTGTAAAGCCCTGTGTCTGAGGACAGTTCTTTTTGTCTGTGTTTCCCAGCCCTTGGTTGTTAAGCATCAGAACTCTGTTGTTAATAAATTGTTTTACTCATATGAAATGTACACTTTTTTTGTTGGTGCGTCATTAACCATGAAGCAGGTTTTAGAAAAGCTTCAAAATTGACAAAACACATGTAAGAAATAGTAATAGATAATAAATGGTGCTTATTAAGTAGTACAGATACAAAGCAAAGGTTGTTTCTGTTTTTACCAATTCTTTAAAATACATATTATTTCTGATATTTGTGGCAGGGGTAAAAATAATAAGGCTTTTTAATAATCTCCAAACCTAATCACAACAGGAAGTGTTGTTTATATTTCAACCCAGTAAATCTAAGCAAAG